GGTTAAAAATCCAAAGAAGTGTGACACATGACGGGTAACTTGTGGTAAGTTTTACAAAAAGTGAGAACTAAAATAAAGAGTAAGTGTGACAAACGGGCATGAACAGTGCAGAAACAACTCATGAACACGGGGTGCAAACTCACGAAAATAACCTAAGTGCTAAAACATGTTCTTTTTGCTTACACAAATCGGGCTTATGCGTACGAATACAAACAGCTTCAAGGACCTTCAACTGCTGGACATAACGGGCACGACACAGTACAGAGAAGTGGGAATCATCATACACACTCAAACAATCGGGACGAGATAACAAATGCAAATACACAGCTGACTTCTTACGAATTTCACCCTCATCAGCTCCATCACCTTCCCTGCCACCTGACTCCTCCTCGTCCGTTTTATCACCATCACCACCAGCCGTCTCACCGTCATCCGCCTCGTCTTCATCCGCCGCCTCGTCATCACCCGCCTCGTCGTCATCTGTATCCTCGCCGTCATCCGCCTCGTCGTCATCTGTATTCTCGTCATCCGCCGCATCATCACCCAACTCATATTCACCACCAGTCAGTCGTCTGATACCATCCATGTTCTCCTTCCTACGTCTGTCCCGTGTCACTGTCTTTACCTCATCTACGTCCCGAGATTGTGTTCCGTTTTGTCCCCGGCTTCCGGTCTCCTTCGATGCTCCGCGTGGGCCTTGGCCATTCCTAGCATATATTTCGGTTGAATAATTGGCGGTCGACCTCCGTGGTCTCTGGACCCACGGATCAAGCGCCGGAGGGTGCTGCGGTGTCCGCACAGCCGGATACTGTGTCAAAGAAATGGGCTCAATGTCTGTGATTGGCGGTACTGTTGTTGTTGCCGACTCCTCCCAAACCCCAGCCACCAACGGCACTGGTGGTGGCTCCGGTGGCGGCAAGGGCAACGGTGGAGAAGGCACATTCGGTTGGCTTAGTGATCCACCACTCTTCCTCTGCACCGTGTGTTCGACTTGCTCTGGTTGTGTCGGTGGTAGAGGGAGCGGGTTCTTGCGTGGTCTTCCCCGCTTCGGGCGCTTCGCTTTTGCTGCGTCCGGCAGCATGTGAAGTGGTACATGCTGCTTGATACGTGCGCTCAGGTGTTGAAGGGTCTTCCTTCAACACCTGAGCGCACGTATCAAGCAGCATGTACCACTTCACATGCTGCCGGACGCAGCAAAAGCGAAGCGCCCGAAGCGGGGAAGACCACGCAAGAACCCGCTCCCTCTACCACCGACACAACCAGAGCAAGTCGAACACACGGTGCAGAGGAAGAGTGGTGGATCACTAAGCCAACCGAATGTGCCTTCTCCACCGTTGCCCTTGCCGCCACCGGAGCCACCACCAGTGCCGTTGGTGGCTGGGGTTTGGGAGGAGTCGGCAACAACAACAGTACCGCCAATCACAGACATTGAGCCCATTTCTTTGACACAGTATCCGGCTGTGCGGACACCGCAGCACCCTCCGGCGCTTGATCCGTGGGTCCAGAGACCACGGAGGTCGACCGCCAATTATTCAACCGAAATATATGCTAGGAATGGCCAAGGCCCACGCGGAGCATCGAAGGAGACCGGAAGCCGGGGACAAAACGGAACACAATCTCGGGACGTAGATGAGGTAAAGACAGTGACACGGGACAGACGTAGGAAGGAGAACATGGATGGTATCAGACGACTGACTGGTGGTGAATATGAGTTGGGTGATGATGCGGCGGATGACGAGAATACAGATGACGACGAGGCGGATGACGGCGAGGATACAGATGACGACGAGGCGGGTGATGACGAGGCGGCGGATGAAGACGAGGCGGATGACGGTGAGACGGCTGGTGGTGATGGTGATAAAACGGACGAGGAGGAGTCAGGTGGCAGGGAAGGTGATGGAGCTGATGAGGGTGAAATTCGTAAGAAGTCAGCTGTGTATTTGCATTTGTTATCTCGTCCCGATTGTTTGAGTGTGTATGATGATTCCCACTTCTCTGTACTGTGTCGTGCCCGTTATGTCCAGCAGTTGAAGGTCCTTGAAGCTGTTTGTATTCGTACGCATAAGCCCGATTTGTGTAAGCAAAAAGAACATGTTTTAGCACTTAGGTTATTTTCGTGAGTTTGCACCCCGTGTTCATGAGTTGTTTCTGCACTGTTCATGCCCGTTTGTCACACTTACTCTTTATTTTAGTTCTCACTTTTTGTAAAACTTACCACAAGTTACCCGTCATGTGTCACACTTCTTTGGATTTTTAACCTTTGTTTTTCCCTTGATCTCTTTAGTTCCGTATTTCCACTGATGATCGGAACGTGAAAATCGATTTTGGAAACACACAAAACCAAACCTTGAACAAATTGTCATGTTGCGTGGTGATGTCTGCGGCATTCATACTTTTCATTGCTATCACAATTTTATTGATAGTTTTTAAACGTTATGTGTAGCAACATTGCAATGTCGCAAGAATGCAGCGATGCTTCACCTTCAATTCTCTGAATCTC